GGTTAAAAAACTGGAGTCAAGCTCTGACTCCTTCCCTCCCCTCCCTAACAACCCAGTTCTATCCACCCACCTTTCCTCCCTCCCCCCCAAAAAAACCTTAATTTAGAACATTATTATCAATGCTGCACGTAGCCTCGCCATGTGCCAGAAGTGTGCTAGGTGCACGCATTCCCTCATTTGACTTTGACTTTCCCAGCGATCCCATGAGGCGCCTGCTACTGTTCTGTTACTCCCACCTTATAGAGGAGTCAACTAAAACTCCCAGAGGCCACTTGGCCAAGCAAGAGTCAGATACAGTGTTAATTTCTGCACTACACTGTTAATCTTGGGGAGACCCCCACACCTGAGAAACAAGTTTGTGAACTTGGCCTTTGCTTCGCTGACACCTAGCAACAGTGGGAGCCTCTTCCCTGCTGCTCATCATGCCTGTCTTCTCCCACCCACCTTCCAGCCCCTAGCAACCCCGTTCCCCAGGAAAAATCAAGTGCCAAACTGCTGCCCACATCCCTCAATATTATCATACCCAAAACTCCCACTTTGCTTCCTTGCTCCTGAGCCCAAAAATTCCTGAAAAATTCAGCCTCCAACACCAGCATTTTCTGCTTCCCAACATGCTCTCTATGCACCCAACATCCCAGACACAGACCTTGCAAAGTACAGGGAACTCCTCCAGCTCACTGGTGCCAAGGGGTTTCCACCCCACTGCCCCCAGAGGTGGAGAGGAGTCCACTCCACAATCCTTATAACTGACTTCCAGTGAAGACCTCCCCCACCCCATTTCCTCCTGGTTAGTCAACTTTCCACAAAACACCTGCCATCCCTGTCCCACCATCACTGCGTCCCCCACCTTCTTTCTCATCACCCCAAGCACTCTCCCCACATCCCTCAGTCCCCTCCTGAAAGGAGCCTGACCCACCTCCATCCCTCAGCCCTCCCTTAACTGCCCTCCAGCCCCTTTTCAGTTCGCCCTAACCCCATATTCCTCAGTCACCCTTTCTGGTCAACTCGACCCCCAACTCCATTCCTCAACCCCTTCTCCGGCTAACCTCCACCTTCAACTCCACTTCCAGCCCCTTCCCAAATAACATCCACCCTCAACTCGAACCCTGTGCCCCTCCCCAGCTAACTCAGACCCCCCAATTCCATTGCCAGCTAATCCCTATCTTCAACTCCACTCCCGGACCCTCCTCAAATAATCTTCACCTGCAACTCGAACCCTATCTCCTCCCCAGCTAACCTCTACCTCAACTTCAGTCACCTCCCCAGCTGACCTCGACCCCCCAGGTCCGCAGCCAAATGGGAGCCCTCTCAGCGCTCATCTCCCGGGCTGCCCGGGCCTGCCCTCCGCCCCAGCCGCGCCCCAACCTCCAGTGCCCGAGTTTGGGGCATCGGACCCCGGCCCGAGACGCGACTGCAAGCGCCCTTACCTGTGCTCCGGCAGCCACGGCCGACTCAGCCCCGCTGCGCAGCCGAACCCGCCGCCTGGCGCTCGAGCGCTCCCTTGTCTCTGGGGGCGGGCCCGGCGCTCAGTGGGTGAGCACTGGAAGCCAGCGCAGCCAATCGTGAGCCCCGGCAGCGGGAGCCAGGCCCGGGGCGAGGTACAGGGCAAGCAGCGGGGTAGGCTGCGCCCAGCAGAGGGGCGGGGCTCAGAGCGCGAGCGGAGCCTGGAGGTAAAGAGCTGAGTGGCATTGTCGTTGGCCACCTGCGAGCGGGGACCGCACGGGGGGCGGGGCTATGTTAATATGCAAATAGAACGTTGTGTTGGACTGTGAGGCAGGGCAATGCGCGAATTTTCAGAGGCGTCTCGGTGACGTCGAGGAGGCGCGGGGTTTTCGCGAGTTCGAATCCTGAATCCTACTTGCTGGGGCTCGCCTGTGGTGCGGGAAAACTGCCCCCTGCTGATCGGTCGCGTGACCTGCAGGACACTAATAATAAATACTCCCTTTCGTTGAACCCTTTGCTTAAGGTTAGAGGAGAAATGATAAAATTCCCATTTTTACGGAGGTGGAAATTGAGTCTCCTAGAGGTTAAACCCAAGGTCATTCACTCAAGCCTGTCTCATAATTTCCCGGACTTAGCAGTTTCCTAACTCCTGGGCCTCCGCCCATATGGAATGATCCAGAATCCTACAGGAACTGGACCCCAGTAATGTGCATTTTTAAGATGTTCCCGTGGCAATGTTGAAAAACATTTAGTGTGTCTCCAAAAGCATCCAGAGCTCATGGAAGGGAGAGTTTTTTATACAGAAGGATGCAGCCACTGTATACTGAACTTGAAGAACTCAGTGCAACACTGAGGCTTTCTGATCAGAGCTCTGGCCTCCCAGCCGGGTGCCCCAGGGGTCCTGTCATCCCTGCAGGAATCTCCCTGCTCATCCCCTGCAGCTCACAGAAAGAACTAGGCACGTGGGACAGGCGTCTCACTCCCCAGCTCACTGCTGCTCAGAGGAACTATTGTCTGAACAACAGTCGCAAACCAGTCTCCCACCAGGCTTACTGTGTGAATGAACAAGGGTCTCAAACTTGTCCGGGGGGAGGGCAAGATGTAGCCCAAACATACTTTAAAAATACCAAATTCATTGCCAACACTTGCCCTAGCTGGTGTGGCTCAGTGGGCTGAGTGCCAGGCTGCGAGTTCTATTCCCAGTTAGGCCACTTGCCTGGGCTGTGGGATGGGTCCCCAGTTAGGAATGTGTGACAGACAACTGTTTCTTCCCTTCCCTTCCCCTCCCTCTGTCTCCTTCCTTTCCCCTCCCTCTAAAAATAAAATACATAAAATCTTTTAAAAAATTCATTGCCAACATTTTAAAATGCCTCACAAAAAGAAATCCAGATTTCCAGGATCTCTGGAAAAGTCAGGTCTGGTGATTGCTGCAGCAGCTGGATAAAGCAGCTGGATGAAGCAACTGCACAGCTTCAGGCAAAGTCAGGACTGGAGTGAGACAAAAGATGCATTTTTCTCAAATCCAAAACCTAAATGGGTGGAGAAAAAAGCCCTCACCATCAAGAGAAATACTATGTTGATGATATATTTTAAAATGTCAAGTTAAATGCGGAAATGATTCAGAATGAACAAAATACCAACATTTTCAAGAAAGACAAAATGTGGTTCTGCACTTATGCAAACCACCCCCCTTGCTTCTCCCTAACCTGGACCCTGTCAAATCCTATCCTTCTGTAAAAGACTGACGCAGCCCTGGCTGGATGGCTCAGTTGGTTGGACCATCGTCCTGTGCACCAGAATGTTATGGGTTCAATTCCTGATCAGGGCACATACCTAGGTTGTGGTTTGATTCCCAGCCAGGGCACATAACAAGGACAGCCAATTGATGTTTCTCTCTCACATCGATGTGCTCTCCCCCTGCCACCTCCCTTTTCTTTCTCTCTGAAATTAATAGAAATATATCCTCGGGTGAAGATTAAAAAAAAAGAGTGCTCACTTCGGCAGCACATATACTAAAAAATTGGAACGATACAGAGAAGATTAGCATGGCCACTGTGCAAGGATGACATGCAAATTCGTGAAGAGTTCCATATTAAAAAAAAAAGATTGACACATTGTTCATTGTGGCTTCCTTTGCATTAAAATGTTTCCCAATGGCTGAGACTTTTGGCACTCCCCCCCACCTTAAGTTTTGCACCCATGGTGAGTGCTTCTCTCTCCTCACCTAGTCCTGCCCCTGCTTATAGGTTTGTAAACTCAGCCCTGAGCCATTTAGCAGATGGAGAAACTAAAGCCCTATGGGTTCTTCTCCGTGTAATATATGGCTCATAGAGCCTCCCTGATCTCCTGAGTTGGCTGAAATAAATGTAGTGCCAGCAGCATTTGTGAGGTCTCCTGTGGGGACCACGATGTTCCCATGATGTCCCATTGTCCTTTTCATAAAAGCCCATACTCTTCCCATAGCCCACTGGGCCATTTCACCCTGCTCACCTCTCTGATCTCCTTGACTACCACACTTCCCTCACTCCTCTTCTGCCACTCTGACCTTCACTGGTTCGTGCCTCAGGGCCTTTGCACATGCTGTTCTCCCAGCTTGGTGCTCCATCGCAGATCAGCCTCTTGGGGCTGGCCTCAATTTTGCCTTCCTGTGTCAGCTCAATGTCACATTCTCTGTCAGCTTGGCCTCCCTAACCTCCCAGACTCCTGCCTCCATGTCACTTTTGTGTTCCAGGTTTTCTTCTTCACAGCAGGTACCTGAAGTGATCTGATTCGTTCTTTGGCAGGAGGATGGACTCTCCCCCAGTAGGTAATAGGCTCTGAGAGGTCAGGGACCCTGGGCTTTAAGTCTGTCATTGCTGTGTGTCCCACATCCAGGAAAGGTCCAGGCACATAGTAGGTGACTATTACATACTGGGTGAATGAATGGATGGAAGAATGGATGGGTGGTGTCTCAGTTTCTTCCTCCCAGTCTGTTCCTGAAGCAGGCCTTCTCTCTTCCAACTGAGATGCCTGCCTGGCCCGGTCTGAATGGGTGAGAAGGAGGCTGGAGTGGCAGATGAGAAGTCACATAGGGCAACTGGAGGGGTGAGGAGGAAAATGCTCCTTCCCCGCTCCTTCTCCCCTACCCCAGCTTTTGTGAGCACCCCTACTCACCCTCTCTGTGAGCCCTACAGGGAAATTGCCCAAGTTCACAGAAAGTCCAGGGAAGGTGCCCCAGGTAACATGTGGAGAGTGAATGAGAAACTGAGGCCCAGGGGAGAAGCCTGGGCCAGGGCCCCACAGCGCCACCTCTGGCAGAAGCGCTCATCACAGACTGCTCCTGCCTCTCCTTTCCTCATGGCCCTCTCCACCCGCCACATCCCCATCCCTCACCTCCCCATACCCACAAGGCCTCCACCACCCACTTCTCAGTCCCGCCCTTCCTCACCTACATTATTCACCCATCCCTCACCTCCTCCATCCCTCACCTTCCCATCCTTCAAGTCCCCGTCCTTTGCAGATGGCCAGCTGACCCTCACACCCCAAAGAAGGAGCACCAGTGGGGAATATAGGATCCACTTCTTTATTGCAGGAAGACTATTTCTAGAGCGAATGCTAAACAGACCCCACAATGAGGGGTAGGGGCACCCACATGCGGAGGGAGAGGGGGCAGGGGTGGGATCACGGCAAGCATGGCCTGGCACCTGGCACGGTCCCCAGACCCAGGGATACCCAGGCAGGAAAGGCCAAAAGCCAGGGCAGGCTCTTTCCCCTCCTGCTGCAGAACCCCTCTGTCCCTAGGGTCAGGGTAGGGCCTGAGGTGGAAGAAGCCTTGAGGGGCGGGGCCCCAGGGAGATTGTGCTATCAGGGTGTGTCCCTGAGAAAGGGCTGCAGACCCCTGCCCAGCCTCACCCACTCAGGCACCTTCAAGGCCCAGGAACCACTCTAAGGATGGGGAAGGGGCAACACCAGCTGCCGGTGGGCCCTGGACCTGCCACAGGGTAAGGGGACCCAGCTGTGCTCAGACAGAACACTACCGGCCCTTCCACGGGCCTGTCCATGTGCTTGGCGGTCACACACGCCCTCTCTCTCATAGTGTGCCCCATAAACATCTGTGGAGTGAGCAATCACGTGAACAAAGAGAAAAATAAACACGCTGTTACTAAGTTGGACACAAACAGTACCTCTTATCCACATACAGTCCCATGTGGTCACATGGTTAGACAGCCACTTGGCTTCTCTCTCTCTCTCACACACACGTGCAGTTCAGTCTCAGCATGCACAAGCACACACAAGCACATAACACATGCAGCTTTCTGACACCCAGTGACACCCCATGCTCTTGAGGCCAGGGCCTGAGGGCAATTCCCACAGACAGCCTGTGAAAAACTGAGGCCCTGGGTCCTGCAGCCACAGAGAACTGAACGGAGTGGTGCCGACAAGCGCTTGAGCTGGGCAGTGGGTCCTTCCCCAGACAGGCTTTCAGACGAGACCGAAGCCTGAGCAGCACTCTGGTTCCAGCCTGCTAAGACCCTGAGCAGAGGACCCAGATAAGCCATGCCTGGTCTCCTGAACCACACAAACTGGGAGATGATAAATGTGTGTAGTTTCAAGTCACTGAGTTTGTGGTCATTTGTTACATAGCAGTAGCTGACTGACAGACACCTTGCTACAGAGTAAGACAGGCTTACTCTGCCTCACACGGCAAGAACAAGCAGGTCCGTAGATGCTTTCTGACAAATCCCATCACCCACTCAGGAAAACACAGGCACTTGTGGTCACGCGCGTGCTGTTACACCACAAGTGTCCTGACCTGTGAATGGCCACAACATACCCACCCTATGTTATTATATACACAGACTATCTGTCTCATGTGAGTACCACCCTGGTGATGGACACAAACACAGGCACAGACATGGACACACGTGTAGACACATTGGCCCCTACAGAGCAATTTGCACAAGTACACCATCCCATGGTCACTCCCCACACCCAGGCCTACGAGTCACCTTCATTGTCAGACACAGCCCCACAGGGTCCCACGAGTATAGAGTTATCTAGACACATACACCAAAACACGCCGAATCTCATGGTTGCAGAGACACCTTGACTCCAGGACACACACCATCCTGGGGGGTCCCTTTTCTGGGGTGCAGGTGGTGGGAGGAAGTGGGCTTGGCAGAGTTCTACCTTAAGCCCTCTCAGATCCTGCTGATGGTGAGCCCAGTCACCTGCCACCGGGTGGGGTCCCAGGCACCCCACCCAGGACCCCAGACACCTGCTCAGGGCTCAGGGGTGACACACTGTGCCAGTCTCTGTGAGTTGTGTCCAGGAAGGCCCCCCCTTTCATGTCAGGCAGTCCCCGAGTTGTTCTGTGGCCATCAGCCAGTCCTGGGTCTCCCCTGCCTGTACCTCAGGCCCAGGCTGTGAGAGAAGTGGGGTTCCTGGCTGGTAGGGCACTGCTGCGGGCCCTGTGGTTATTGCCTGGTGGCCTGAGGCCCATCCTGCAAGCCACTCACCCCAAGCTGTGGGGACAGAGAAGGGTGGTCTGGGGCCCAGGGTAGAGCGCACAGGCCAGAGGTCATAAGGAACAGAGGTGGGGGTTGGAGGGAGTGTATGTTAAATACCGAATAGGAGAAAACAAAATCTGAGGTCCATGTGCACTTCCATTCCTCCCTTCCTGGCAAGGTCACAGTGATCTAATGGGTGGGGGCAGCACAGGACTGGCTGGGGGCACACGAGGGAAAGGGGAAGACATGGGGGTCCTGGCAAAATGGAGACAGGTGGAGATGGGGAAACTCAGTGTCCTCGATCCCACAGGGACAGGCAGCTCTCCCATTTTCCCGTGTGCAGATCGAGGGGGTCACATGTAGCACGTGGCTTTGGGAGTACAGACAGGAGAGTGGGGTAGAGAGATGGGGCAGAAGGCGGAGGGATATGAGAGAGCTGGCTTGGAGCCCCAGACCTGCAGGGCTCATCAGGGCCTCGGCGTCCCCATCAGGAATGTTGGATGACGGCAGAGACGTGGAAGTGATGAGAGAGGGGAAGAGAGAGGAGGGGAGGAGGGGAAGGAAGGGGAGAGGAGGAGAAGGCAGTGGCTGCAGGGCGATGTGGGAGAGGCATGGGGCCAGGACAGGGGCTGGCTGCAGGCGGGCGTCCCAGGCTCACATGAGGATGCATTTGCCCTTGATGCGGTCTGTCCTCTTCTGTTTGCTGGAGCGCTTGCCATCGATGTTGAGGCTCATGTTCCGGCGTGTCTCCAGCGTGAGCAGCTCCTGGAAGAGCTCCTTGACGTTGTAGTTCATCTTGGCTGATGTCTCCATGAAGGCGCACTTCCACTCCTGGGCCACAGCCTGGGCCTCGCGGGTGTCCACCTCCCGCTGTGTCTCATCACACTTGTTGCCCACCAGCATGACTGGAATGTCCTCCACGCTGCCCTTGATCTGCACAATTAGCTGGTAGATGGGCCCCAGCTCCTCCAGAGACTGCTTGCTTGTGACTGAGAAGACCAAGATGAAGGCGTGGCCCTTGGAGATGGACAGCCGCTGCATGGCCGGAAACTGGTGGCTGCCTGTGGTGTCAGTGATCTGCAGCGTGCACACGCTCTTGTCACAGCTGATCACCTGCCGGTAGGTGTCCTCAATGGTGGGGATGTAGGTGTCTCGAAATGTTCCCTTCACGAAGCGCAGCACCAGGGAGCTCTTGCCCACGCCACCGGCACCAAACACCACCACCCGGTAGTCATTACTCTGCTCAGGCATCTTCCACACCAGGGGTGGGGGTCAGAGCTGGGAGAGTGTGTGCCAGCTGTTAGGACCCCAGGCTGACCCTGTACAGAGAGGAGTGTCAGATGCAAAAAGCCACCCAGCCAGGAGGGAATAGCTCCGGGCCTGGAGGCAGGAGGGGTGGCTTCTCAGAGGAGGTGGCATTTCTCCTGTGTCCTGGGAAGGCCCTTCAAGTTGATTTGGCTGATTTTGCAATTCTGCCCTGCATGCAGGCTCAGAGCCAGACCCCTATGCTGGTTTCCCTTCCAACAAAATCTGGGGCCTAAGCTCCTTCCCAAAGGACTCCAGGCTGGAAGAGATGTGAAGGTGACTCCTTCCCCCACATGCATGCTCCCCCAGCCACCCCTCAGGCTGCACAGGCTTTTCCATCTCTTCCCAGCTTGGCTGTGGGCTCCAGCAGCCCTGGTTCCGCGACCTAGGCAAGATGCTTGGCCTCAGTTTCCCTCTCTGCAAAGTAGGTGATGTGGTGCCTCTCTCCAAAAATCACAGGTTCCCCTTAGCCCAGAGGCTCCTTAACCTTGTGAGAGCCACATGATGGGGCATCTTTAAAATGCAGCTGGCAGAGCCTCAGCCCTGGGAATGATTAATCTGTGGCCCTGGGCACCCGCATTTTAAAGCCACTCTCGTGCCCTCGTCCCATAAACTCGATCCTAATGCTGGAAGCCCCAGAACCTCAATGAGCAAATCTTGACACTGATTTCCTACAGCAGCCTCAAGAGGCAGGGATGCACAGCCCAGACCGGAGATGAAGAAGTTAAAACTGAGGCCAAAGAGAAAAATACCTACTCCCCAAACTCTGTACCCAGACCATGGTCTGCCCTCCCTGGCCTCCCGTTCAGGCCTAGTATATCCGTATCCACAGGCACAGAGCTCCCCAGGAGGGGGGTCCTCTTATCATCTCTACCTCTCCTGAGCTCAGAGAGGTTCAGTGGCCTCGGGAGTTCACACAGCATAGCAATTTCTGCAATGACAGAGGTGGAGAAGGAGCCGGGGCTGGGGGTGGGAGCCAGGGGTCCTTATTTATAGAGAGCAGGAAAGACCTCATCCCTTCCTCCTTTTCAGCTGTCTCTAAGCATGGGTGTGGGACTACAGTGAGAGAAGAGACACAACAGGATCACAACACAGCCAAGTTACCCCACTTAAGTGTATGAATGTGTGTGTGTGTGTTTAAGACCTGATGGTGTGAACCAGATTGGTGTCCTTAAGCCTCAGTTTTCTTTGTGTGACTCAAGTGGTTGTAGTACCCACTCCCCAAAGTTGCTGCAAAGAGGGTGTGATAAGCCGGAGAAAGCCCTTAGGAAGGCGCCGGGCACAAGGGAATCCTGTGTAAGGATGAACAATCAGGATTATTGACCACCGGGGCTCAGAGCATAAAGCGCTCAGCCTGCAGTGGGCTGGGAAGGCATGTTCTGAATGATCAAAAGTATCAGGTTTGTCAAAAAAAGATATACAATCAAAGTAACAGCCAGCATGTACTCCACAAATTATATGCCAGCCAAACTTCCGGGAGCTTTAGTAGCACTAACTCACGATTGACTGACTGCTAGGCATGTTGGTGACATGGTGACAAGCATGGCAGTGGTCCGAATGGGAGGACGCTGGGTGTGGGGCTGGCGTGGAGTGCCGACCAGCTCTGCAGTCACTGCCCCTTCTGAGGGGGTGCCCTGTGGAATGGGCACACGGCGTGCAGCCAGCCACGGCCACAACTGGCCGGGGGACCTGGGGAGGCCAATGACAATCAGTTCTGCTGCCCCAGACCCAGCCCTGGCTGTGCTCTGGGTACAGACCCCCTGGCAGGGCTCCAGGCCAGTCAACAACAGTGTCCTGCAGGAGGGACCTCTCTGGCATCTGGGATCCCAAACTAGGAGCCCCCATTCATCACCCCCAGTCCATGCCAGGTACACATCTGGTGCCTTTTGAAAACCACCCTGACCTCCTGCAAGGCGGGGGTGGGGGGGGAGAGGATCTCAGGCACTGAGGGTCAGGGGGGAAGACACTGGCCAAAGGTCACAGAGCAGGAAGGTGGCAGAGCATAGCAGAATTTGAACTAGTCTTGGCTGGCCTCAAGGGCAGGGGTCCTCCCCATATGCAAAGCAGCCCACCCTGAGACTCTCCTGTAGGGAATCAGTCCAGCCCTAGGTTCCTGGAGCCCAGCTGGGGAAGTTGCAGCGACCTCGACCTCGGGTGCAAGAAAGCAGGCTGGACCCAGGGGAGGGCCTGGGGGCATGCTTGCCTAAACTGGGGGGTGGGGGGGGTCCTGACCAGAACTAATGAGGGGCTTGATGAGGGGCCTGCTCCAGGGGACAGAGAGAGACACACACATACTCAGGGGAGCAAGCCCAGGGGTTCCCCTTGGCCAAAGAAGGATCTAAGTAGTAGAGGAGGGGGGCCCCACCAGCATGGGTCTCCTGAGTGAAGGAGGGCATGGCAGAGAGGGCAGGAGGGCTGAGCGGGCAGCGGTGGGCTGAGAAAGGCCCAGGGCCCAAGTGGCTCCCTGTGGAGAGGTCCTGGCTGAGCAGGACGACCAACCCAGACAGCGGGGTTTAGGGGAGCTGGAGAGGGGCTGGCTTGGCCGCCGGGGCGCGGCGCGGGGGGGGGGGGGGGTAGCGTGGGGGAGGGGAGGGCGCCGAGCGGGAGCTGTCCGAGGTGGGAGCGGAAGGCAGCCGAGCCAGGGACTGGGGAAGGGCTCCGGTGCAGGGCCAGGCGGGAGATGGGCCTGGCCCCTCAGGCTGGCCAGGAGGGTGGGGCTCGGACAAAGGAGAAGCGCGCAGGGAAGGGCCCAGCGGGCAGGGCGAGTGGGATGCAGCAGGCCGGTGCCCCAGCCCCCGCCCCGGCCGCCTACCTGGGCTCTGGTCCCTGCGGCGTCGCCGCGGCTGCTGCTAGCCAGCTCCGTGTCCGCTCCGGCGCCGCCGCCCCCCGCGCTCCCGCCGCCGCCGCCGCCGCCGCCCGCCCGAGCTGCCGCCGTGCCCGCGCCGTCCCCGCCCGCCCGCTGGGCGCCGCGCTCCGCCCCTCCCCGGGGACCCGCGCCCCCGGCCAAGGTCACTGCCGCCCGGAACCCTGCCCCTGTGAACGCAGCCCCACCCAGACCCCCACCCCGCGCCCCTAGCACTGGACCCCAGCCCAGCCCCGCGAGCATACAGCCCCGCCCGGAGTTCCGCCCGCGCACGTGGGTTTCTGCTGGCCCCCGGGGAGGTCGCTAGGACGCAACGGTGCAAATGGGGTGGGGTCCGCTTTTTCCAGAGCCCCGAGTGGCAGCTGGGGCGCTCAGAGTTACCCCGAAAACTAGGTGATGGGCAAGAAGGAGGAAAAATCGAAGTCACCCCAGGGACAAAGGGAAGAGGCCGTTGGCAGAACTGCAGATAAAGGGGGCTGGGGTAGCGAAATGGGACACCTTGGGGTTGGTGGAGGGTCGTGGTCCTGCTCAGGAACCCGCTCCAGAGGAGGTGCTTGAATGGAATAATCAACCAGTAAGTACTATATTATTTTATTAACCAATGTCATCCCGATAAATTCAATAAAAATTAAAAAGAAAACCAATAAATGTACGAGGAGGCAGAGAGAGTGCCAGAGGGCGCAGGGCAATGAGGATGTACCTAGAACCCCGCCCCCCATCCCAGGGGTCTGTGGGATGGAGAGACAGAAAGGAAGTGAAGAGGGCCTCCATCTGGGTTGGTAGCCTAAGGACATCCCATGGGGAGTGGGTGGGGGTTGGCAGGTGGGCCCTTTGATGGCCTGGGGTGCTATTTGAGGGTGGGGGTGAACAAAGAAGGTTAGGGGTAATGGGGTTTTGGTTTTATGCTATGAAAATACGTATCTCCCTCAAATGCATAACTCTGAGAATAAACGTTCATCTTTGGAAAGTATCTACGTATTTGACATGTCTGTGTCCAGGCTTAAGCTAACAGGATGCCCATCACCCGCTCCCTCCTGAAGACCTGGAGAGCAGAGGCTCATCTCAGAGGAGACCAGACTTTGGGGCGCAGCAACCAGGCCAGGGGTGGGTGTGAGACAGCCCCGGGCCCCAAGCCTGTGAAAGGAAAGTGCCCCTTGATGGGGAAGCTGACACTAGGGTCCCACAAGCAGGGCCTTCTGGGGTCAGAGCAGCTGGAAGGTGAAAGAGACTCTTTGGGAGGTGGTGAGGTCCCCATTGTGCGGCATGTGAGCAGACAGCCAGCTGGAGTCCAAGGGCCCTTCTGGCTCTTGGTTCCTTGATTTTTGCTTACCCACCATTTCTGTGGCTCTGGCTGAGGCAGACTTTTCTGGGCTTGAGCGGCCCCATCTCTCCCTGACTCAGCCCCTCCACTGCATCTCCAGGCCTATCCTGCCTGGACAGTCTCACCCGCCTCCTTCCTTGCCTCCCAGAGCCACCCACCAGCCCTCTTCCGTTCTGGCATTCAACCCCCAGCCTTTAACATGAGCCTCCCTTGCTCTAAGGCTGCTAGTGTCTCTCTTTGCCTCAGGGTCAAAGTCCAGCTTCTCAGCCCAGAGTTGAAGTTCCTTCATGATTAGTGTGCTCATGATTTCCCATCCTCTCCCCATACACCTTCCTCCTGCCCTGTCCTCGGCCCTGTGGGGTGCCTTAGAGGGTGGCCCCTACCCTTCATCTTGGGATGCCATCGGCCAGACAGGGAGGCAGCAGCCTGATGGACAGACAGATCCTGACGTCTGGCCTGAGTCGCCGTCCGAGCTGTGGTTTCTCCATCTGTGAATGAGGATCACTGCTGTCTGCCCTCTCAGGGTTGCTGGGAGCAATCGGGATGAGCACACAGGGGCTGAGACAAACAGCCCAACTTCCTACCACTCCACCTGCCTGCCTTTGTCTCCTGAGTGACCTGCTGATGCTGGGCCAGGCCTCTGGCCGATTTCTGGCTCCTCCAGATGACAGCCCAGGCCGGACCAGGCTGACTCATACACAGGATCGTGGGCACAGCAGCAGTGCCATTCTGCAGTTGCTATTTATAGTTCTCGGGCCACACTCCCAGCCTCTGGAGCCAGGGGAAGACAGGCCCCAGAGTCCCCTCCTCACTCTCCCTGGGGCATAGGAGCCCAGCTCCCCACCCCAACACCCTAAATTAGTGTAGTGGTACCCCCTTCCCTGTGGCCAGCCAGGATAGCTCTGGCTTTCATGAACATAGGGATGTGTATGGCAGTCACCAGCTGTGTCCTCTCTGGAAACCAAGGTGCAGAGAAGGGAATCAGCTCACTGGAGGTGGCCTAGCTGGGAAAAAGCTGAGCTGAGACTGGAACTCCATTGGGCTCTGAAATCACAACCCAGCCTTCTGGCCCAGGGACCTGCACCTGGCCTTCAGCTGCTCCTGTCCTGCAGAAGTCCTCTCAATTGCAAAGGTTAGCTGTTCCCCTACACAGTCCCAGCTCACCTGGCCTTGCAGCCCATGGGACTTCTCCCTGTCCCAACGTTCCAGGCAGGGGCCATACTGCGTCATTTATGCCCCCTCCCTGCTCCCAGCCCAGCATAGCTGCCTGGTGAAAGGTAGGCAGCTGGGTCAAATTCTCTGCTCCCTGTGCTCCCTGGATTAATGCAATTATGCAGCAAAACAGAGGTTGAGTCCCATGATGGCCTCTCACAGATGCAGCTTGGCCCACCAAGGTGTTTCATTTTTTTTTAAGTTTGGTGTCAACATTTTTAAAATAGGGAGATCATTTTTCAAAACCCAGTTTGCATGGAAAAAGGAATGGGCTGGCATCCATGAGGCTGAGTTGTGCCAGTCAGCATCTGCAGGAGCTGGACCCCTCCCCAGTGTGGAAGGTGCCAGGTCCTGACCGAAGCCCCCCGCCTGGCCCCTGAAGGAGTCCTGAGTCACTTATTGCTCAGCATACGGGCTGTGCTGTGATCATCATCTCCAAGGAGTGGGGTTACTGAAGACTTTGCCACCGACAGGATGAATCCCTTTAATGCTTGAGTCTTTTTACTGAGAACCAGGGCTGCTTCAGTCAGTTAGAAAAAAGAATTGTGACCTGCAGAAAGACCTGAGGGCCTTTGCACAGGCTGCTTTCTCTGCTGGAAAAGCTTTTCCCTCATCCTGTGTCTCACACTTGTCCCTCACAGATTTCCTCCCCGACCAGGCTGCCAAAGCTGTCCCTGCTAAAATTGTCCCCGCCTCCCCTTACCTTGCTCTTTGTTCTTGGGGTGCTTATTGCTCCCTGATATTGATCATATGTTGACATGTCTCCCTCCCTAGAATGTGAGCTGCCTTCCATGGATCTTACCCAGGGCAATACCGTCCCCAGGAGACACTGGGTGGTCTGGAAACATCTGTGATTGTCACACCAGGGGTGCTCCTGGCACAAGGATTGGGACAGGGATGCTGCTTAACACCCATGTTCAAATGGCCCTGCACAGAGAATGGCTTGGCACCCCAGGGCCCATGGGGCAGACCCTATTCTGGGGGCCCGCTTATTAGGCCAGAGTTGCTGGACCTGTCAGCCAGACCCTCAAGGAAGACCTTTCATCCATGGTGGCTATGTACTCTCCTCACAATGCAGCTCCTCCATTGTGCCCGCCAATGCACCCAAATTAATCAGGGGCTCTGAACTGCCCACCTGCCCAATCCAGTTCTCTCCTGCCAGGCTGGGCATGCAGCGATCACTTCAGGCTGCAACACCATGACCTGCCAGGTCAGCTCTTTTTGCTCAGGGAGCTATGGAAATCTGAGGGTGCTGGACAGAGTGGGTATCCCTGCTCCAGCGCAATTTGGCCTCAGAACCCTGACCACCCAGAGAAGGGTTCTAGGGTCTTCACAGGACCACTCACACACTCTGCAGCAGCCCTCCTCTGCTCAGGAGCCCCACCCCCTCCCTGCCTGCAGGTGGCTCTGGGAAGATGAGATGAGTGGGTCACTGGCTCTGTTCTGAAGTTGGCAGGCAGCTTGTAGGGTGTGAGCTGGAACAGATGGGGTACACACTCCTCTTAGGGGGGCTAAGGACCCATACTGGTGGCCAGGACAGGTCTGATGGTAGCATGTGCTGGGAGACACTACCTAGTTCGTTGCCTGCTTTTTGGGTTCTGAAGACGCAAATAGGCCCACAAATTGGTGCTCTCCCTTTCCCATCCCACGATTACAACTTCTCTGCGAAAAATGCAAACAGCAGACAACAGAAGCCCCAACACACTGTTATTATGGTTGATTCAATCCATGAGGTCTGGATGCCGCCTTCCAATTTTCTTTTCTTTTGTCTGCAGATCAAGCAGGGGAGCCTGGTTGACTCCATCCAGCTGTTGCCTGTGCTGTGAGGCCCTATTCGGGGCAGACAGCAGAGGGTGCTGGGCCGCAGCTGGTTCACCCTCTGGGGTGGGGCCATCCTGGGGAGCCATACTGTAGGGTGCTGAGCAACATCCCTGGCCCTCCTTCTCAATCCCAGGAGCACCTCATGTTGTGACAACCAATGTCCCCAGACATAGCCCAGTGTCCCCTGGTGGCAGAATCACCTGGATTGAGAACCAGAGTTCACGAAGACCTCTGAGAAGGAGGAATATTTGTGTCCACAGACATGTGACATCTCCTTGATGTTAGAAGTTGTATAGAGATGGATGAGCCCTTTGTGGCCAATGTCCTGTTTTGTGGTGAGTGCTGGTTCAGGGCCTCAGGTGGTACCCGACCTACAGTCCTACTCAGGCAAAGCTCCTGTCACCACATGGCAGAGCTCCCCTGTCAGAGCTGGTGGGGGTGGCGCCGCTGAGCTGGCCTCCGAAGACCCTGGATTTGGCCACCATTGGCAGGAGGACCTCAGCAATGAGTGTTGCTTCTTTAGTCTCTGCCAGGCAGGCCAACTACTCTCCTCATCCCACCGTGGAGATGTTGGGATCCTTGGCCAATGTGGAGAAAACTGACCCGAACCAGCCAAGAGACAGACACGTCACCCCCGCGGCTGGCTGACCCACAGTGGCTCCTGGAAGCAGATCCCAGGGCTGACCCTGCTCCTTTGACCACTGCAGGCAGGAGGGGCAGGCAGCCTCTGGGGGCTGGTGGGACAGCCTGTGTCCTTTCCTACGACCCCGCCTGCCCATTGACACATGGTCTCAGTGTCACCACGGGGCCCAGAAGCAGATTTGCTGGGGCTGATGGGACCCCAGGGAGAGAGGAGCGGCTCAGAGCAGAGATGCTTGCTCACCACTCAGCAAATGAAGGCAGGACAGGCACAGGCACAGGCACACTGGGGAGCGAGGGTGACAGGACTTGGGGCAGTGACACTCTAACTGAAGGGAAGGCAGAGGGGGCACTTGGGTCTTTCCTCCCTCGCTGGTGTTGCCATGCCCTTCCTGGGCCTGCGGGTCTAGAAGCCGGCTCAGAGTGAGGGTGGAACATGACCTTGAAGGTTCCCCTTGGGAACAAGAGATGGGGATGTGATAACTGGTTGGAGGACAGAATGTGGTATCACCAGGGCCACCCCAGGGAACAAATGGCTGGTGGGGAAGCAGCCTCATGTGCTTTTGGTGATAGGGAAGGGGCAGGGGCATGCAGCTGTAGATCCCTGGAGCCGACTGCTCTGCCCCGATATAGGGTTCCCAGTGGATTTAGGGGGAAGGGGCCCCTGAGCCTTCTTGTACGGGAGGCCCTGGTACCTCTACCTGGTCCCCTGCACAGTTCCATCCCCCCAGCTAAAGGCAAACTCCACGAGTCCGGTGACCTGTCCACCTGGAACATTCCAGTTCCTGGGTGGAGCGAAGTGGGGGCAGGCGGAGGCCACAGGACCGGGTTCAGGACCTGTGAAGAGGATGATGTCCCCACAGCTGCGGGGTCATTTTCCTGGCTTGGGGTCAGGGCCAGGCCGTGAGGGGTTGTGAAATGGGTCCCCAATAGAAAGTTTAGATAGAAGTTTCTAGAAAGGGGTCCAATACTTGGGGCAGCACCAAGGTGAGCCAACAGAGTAAAAGCGAGGAAATTCGAACACACATCCCTGCTCCCCCAGACTCACAACAGAGGAGGTGGCCAGGGCCCTGGCAGAGGGTGCGCCCTCTTGTACCTCGTGCCCAGTGGGCTAAGCAGGGAACAGCAGGCCAGCCCCTGGGGTGTCCACCCTTTGATATGCCACTAGCTGCTCCTGGATCTCCCAGCATGACCAGAGTGGTGACCAGAGGCCCCTCTGAGCCCAGGGCCATGGGAGGAGGGACCTGTCCTTGTCAGGGAGCTTAAATGCCCCATCGCAGTTCTTCCTGGCATTGGTGAGCACAGGAAGGAAATTCGAGATTTCAGAAAGGTGCACACCTGGGTCTCCCAGCCAACTCAGGGGGCAAGAACAGTGTAATGAGCAGGCTCCAGCAGCCCAGGACAGAGCTGGGAGAAGCTGAAGCCAGGCAGGAGAATCCAGCCCAGGTTGCCAGGCCCGAGCACCCTCCAGCCACACCTCTAAGCCGGGCCAAGCAAATCCCCCAGGAATGGCTCAACCCACTCCTACTCCCCAGGCATGCTCCAGGTTGCTGGGACAACAATGGAAGCTAATGAGAGGTTGCCACAGTGCCGAGTTTACACCAACCATTTGGCTGTTAGTCTCTGCTCTCCTGCATTATCTGGGACTGGCTTCCTGTCTGTCTGGTGGGGGAAATTGAATGTGGCAGGGGGAAGATGGACCGCACAGCCTGTAGGGTCCATCTTGCTACAGAGACCCTGGGCAGACATGGGGTTACGAACCAATGGCCAAGCTGCCTCCCAGCCCTGCCTGCACATCGCTCAGCCCGTGGGTCTGTTCCCTTAGGAAACCCACACGCTCCCCTGGCCCAGCAACTCCAGTCCCCAGAAGGGCAACCTCCCCACTAGGGGGACAGCACCAGAAGGCAGAGGAGAGAATGGTCCTCAGGCACCTGGGACTCTGCCCGTCCCCATAGAGGCAAAGCTTCAGGTGGCAGGAGTCACAGAGCTGCCCCATCTAACTGCAGAATGGATGCTCCTTGCTGGCGGCCTCCTCTGTTAACCACAGAGCCAGTTGGGGGCAGAGGACAGAAGCCTCAGAGCCTCCAACGGCTCCTGTCCGGGTCCACACTGGGAGTGTGTGGGGACGGGAGGGTCTTGGCCTGACCCCATGTGGATGCCTGGCCCTGCCTCCCACGTGAGTTGCCAGATCCCCATGCCCAGGTTGACGTGGTCACACAGTTTTGGTAAATACCTTTAAGTGAAGTATTTTACAAGTAGTAGTGTTGCCCTGAGGCTCGGGGTGTAGAATCTAGGGTCCAGTCTGGTCTTGGGTGGCCCCTCTGTGCACAGGCAGCAACTGAGGGCCTGAGCTCCCCTCGGGGGGAAGGCGGGGCTGTGGGATGTGGCCTGTGTCCAGCCTGGGGCTCCCAAGCACGGGGCAACTGTGATGAAGAACGATGGCAACAGGATGGTCACCACTTGAGGAAGACCATGCCAGCCAGCACGGTGTAGCCCAGCACCAGGAAGAGGACTTTGAGCAGGCGGTCATTCTTCTCCTCCAGTTCCTTCCCCAGAATCTCAAAGAAGGTGACAAAGAGAAAGGTGCCTCCCACCAGACCCTGCAACAGCACGGAAGCCACGCTGCTGGGCACGCCCTGCGCGCTCTGGATGCCCAGGCCAATGCTGATGCCCAGGGGGATCATGGCGCTCACAGTGATGGCAAGCTTGGCTGCTTCCCTCAGGGGCATGGAGCTCCGGGCCATGTTGATGCCCAGGGCCACAGCCACCAGCGTCTCATGGATGGCCACGCCCACGAACAGGCTCACCACCTTCTCCCCCTCCTCCTGGAGGCCCAGGGCCAGGCCTTCAAAGATGGAGTGGGCCGACAGTGCGAAGACCAGGCTGAGGAGGCGCAGGGGGCTGGAGCGCGACAGCTCCTGGACACTGAGCCCGTGGCTGTGGCTGTGGGGCTCCATGTAGAGTGCATGGCCCCGAGCAGCCCCCATGAAGGGGCTCTCATACTCCGAGTCACTGCCGGCATCTGAGCCGGCGTTGAAGGTCTCCATGTCAATGAAGGACGGCTTCTCCTTGCGGAAGGTCAGGATGAGCTGCTCCAGGAAGATGGTCATGAAGAAGCCTAGCATCACAATGGTCTCCGCCAGTGGGTAGTCAGTGCTGATGTGCCCGAGACTCAGAACTTTCTGGAGCTGCAGTGGAGCCCGTGAGAGAGGGAGGGAGGGTAAGAGAGAGAAGAGGGGTTAAAAGTCAGGGAGTCAATGCAACAGGGTTCGTCTGACCTCACTGTTTAATTAGCAAAGCACAGCAACACCCAATTCATTTAAGTTAAGGAAGGGGGGGGGGAGGATGGTGGGTTAATCCATGGTGAATTAAATAAAACGCTACTATAAAGAGAATCACGGTCCTCACCAACAGGAACTGGATTGTGACCTACAAAGACATGTCTACCCAGAACCTCAGAATGTGACTTTATTGGGAAAAAGAGTCTTTGTTGATAGAAAATATTAAGGGCTGAATTTTGTCCTCCTCCCAAAATAAAAATTCGTATATTCAAGTCTCTGAGCCACTAGAACCTCAAAACTAACCATAATGGAAGAGAGGATCTTTAAAAAGGTGATTCCATTAAAATGAGGCTGTCAGGGCAGGCCTACTCCAAGAGAACTGTGGAAAGGCAGAAAAAGGGAGGTCTGAGACGGACCAGCCCTGACAGCACCTTGAGCTCGGACTTCCAGCCTTGGGCACTGGCAGAGAGTAAGTGTTGTGTAGGCTACCCCAACTGTGGTGCTTTGTTTGGCCCCCTCGGGACACTCATGCATACGATAAGGGTCTTGAAATGAGATCATCCTGGTCCCTTAATCCAATGACAGGTGTCCTTATGAGACAGAAGAAGAGACACAGACAGACACATAGGCAGATGGCTATGTGAACACAGAGCCAGATATTGGGGTGACCTGTCCATAGGCCAAGCACTGCTGGTCACCACCAGAAGCTGGTAGAAAGCACGGAACAGATTCTCCCTCACAGCCTCGGGATAACTCAGCCCTGCTGACACCCTGGTCTAGGACTGCCAGCCTCCGCCACTGTGGTATCACCCAGGCTTTCCAGCCCCCGCGCCTGCAAGGGGTTTGCTTCCACATAACCCAGGTGGGGCTGTGTTCCCAGGGTCCTCCCATCACTCTGACCTCCTGGGTAAACACTTGCCAGCACATTCAGCCACTCATCAGATCCCTTGAGTTTGGTGCCATTCGACAGAATGTTCTGGATAACATTAGACACATTTCCTCTCTGTGTTGTCTGGGATAGGAGCCACTAGCCATGCACGAGGACTCAAAACATGGCTGGTGTGGCTGAGAACTGGCACGTTGACTTGTATTTCATTGCAATTCACGGAAACTTGACTAGTTAGGCATGGCAAGCAGCCACCACACTGGACAGTGCGGCTTTGGACACTGTCCAGAAAGGTGGGCAGTGGGCTCCTCAGGGCCTGGGTTAATGTTCCGTGTATTTGTAAGGAAGTTCGCACACACCGAGCCCTTCCCAGCCTTGGGGCCGTGCTGCCGGCTCTGTCCGAAACGTGCCCCCTTCAGCTTGACTCACAGCTGACAGAGGCTCATGCTTTTGATGTTGCTTACACATAATTTCCAAGCACTCAACCTCCACCAGGTGCCCCAATCTCTCCTTTCCCAGAAACACCTTCATTACAACCTGTGAATGCACATGCACGTATGCACATGCGTGCACACCAAGTGTGTAGCTGGGGCAATGCTGCCCTCAGGGGAGAGGTGCGATGTCTGCAGACATTTTGGTTGTCATGGCTTGTTGGGGGGAGGTGACAACATTAGAGCAGGGTCATTCTCTCCCGGGGGCCATCCTGGGTTCTGTGGGGTGTTAAGCAGCATCCCTGGCACCTACACACTTGATGCCCCCAGTCATGATGACAACCACAGATGACCCAAGACACGGCCCAGTATCTCTTGGGGGCAGAGTTACCCCGTACTGCAGCAGAAGGCTGTACTTCTATAAAGAAGCCCTTTCATTCATTTGCTCAACGTCTCATGGAGGCCCGCGTGTGCCCCACTGGGGGAAACACTAGCTTATGGCAAACACAAACTACCTCCAGAGGGACAATCATGAATTGGAAAAGGCAAGGCAGACACACAAAGGCCATAACTTGTGGCACTGTTCCCCATGGCGTGACTGGGACCTGGGTGCTGCTGGCTGAGGCTCGGTGAGGGCTGGAGGGACCTGAGCTTTTGAGGCACGTGAAGCCTGTGGGTAGGGGTACAGCACAGGAGTGGCTTTGGAGGACCCTGAGAAGGCCATGTGCACTAAAGGGGGACAGGGAAGGACAAGGCCATTGTAGCAGGCCAGGCCTGAGGTAGGAGGGCAACAAAGGGTCACACCATGGGAATGTGGTCAATGGGGGAGGGTTTGAAAGTGGCACTGGGGTGCAGAAGCCATCAGACAAGACTCTGGTTTAACTTCATCGATGCCAAGTTATGAATGAATATCCTGTGCTGCACGACAAAGGAACAGAAGCTTAGTGGTATAATGCAATGAATGCAACAGCATCATCTCACAGATACGTCAGAAATCTAGGCACAGGTTGCAGCCTGATGATGAAGCAAGCAGCCATACTGGGAAGGCCCACAGGGCAAGGGACCGAGGGCAGCTCCCAGCCAACAGCCAGGAAGAAACTAGGCCCTGACTCTGACAACCAGGAGGGGCCTGAACCTGCCTTACGAGTACATGAGTTTAGCTGCCCCATCCCCATCTGAATCTTGAGATGATACCACACAGTACAGTGGACACTTCAACTGCTGCCTCCTGAGAACCTGGAACAGAGGACCCAGCTAAGCAGTGTCCAACCTTTGACCCACAGAAACTGTAAGATAATAAATGCATGTTGTCTTAAGGTGTTAACTTTCATATCATTTGTTTCACAGCAGCAGCTGACTGGTACAGGGGTTGAAGAAAAGCCACAACTCCCAGCTTCAGGACAAAGTGTGTGCTGCCAAGGGTAGGTGGTCTGGTCAGGTAACGGCTAATGAGCTCACCGGCTGGGAACACAAGATCTAGTTTAAACCCCTTGTTTATCTAGGCCCAGAGAGGAGAAGCAACCAACTTGTGGTCACACAGCAAATTCATTTTCTACTTCCCATCACCCCTGTGGTGTCAAGGCACCCACTGAGTTCACAGTCAGAGTGAAAAAGTATCCGAGACTCTTGGCCATAGGGTACCAAGGGCTGCTGAGACCACCCAGGGAGCCCTTACCTTTTCCCTCACGGCAGGCAGTAAAGCATTGAAGCAGGTGGCCAGAAAAACCCCACCTCCGAAGGTGTTGCAGAGTGAGAGGATCTTTTTTGAGCGGTGGGCCTTCTCAAAGTCTGTCTCAATGATCTTCACTGGGAGCAGAGAACCCAGCAGCATGAAGAAGAACACGCCCACCATGCAAAGAATTTTGACCACCAACAGCTTCACCATGGTGATGACCTGGGTTGCTGTGGTCACCACAGGGCCGGACCATGTGTGGGTGCACCTCCCGTCCCTCGATGCACTACCAAGGGCTCATGCCTCAGTCCAGCCACTGTGAACACCAAAGACAATCGCGTTAGCTGTTGATTTATCTGACCAACTCTAGTGGTCAAGCTCACTCTCCCCCGGCCCCCTGCCATACTTCACCCCATTCTGGGGCTGGCACACATCCCTGACTCCTGCAGAAAATTCTCCATGGCTGTGATGTCCAGTGCAGCAGTCACTAGCCAAATGTGTCTGTTTACATTAATTAAAATTGAAGAAAATATAAAATTCAGCCCCTTGAACTACCTGTATCTCAAGCGCTTGGGAGCCATGTGAGTCTGGAAGACACCGTTCTGGATGGCAAAGACAGTGTTCCCATTGTCTCAGTGTTCTATTAGGCGGTGGCGTTCCGCTGGCTCCCCGCTGCCCTCACATAAAATCCAACGAGTTGCCCTGAGGCAAAGGCTCTGGGCCAACAGCTAGCTCCCGCGCTTCAGTTCACCGCACTCTGCCCTTCGTGGTCCCTAAATGTGCCAAACCTGTTCCTGCCTCAGGGCTTTTGCGCAGATTATTCTCCTGGCCTAGGACACTTCCTTCCCCAACGTTCAAGTGACATCTTGTCTTTCAGGTCATTGCCTCCAGGACCCCCCAGAAGGGCCTCCCTTGGCTGACCTCTGCCGTAAGCTGTGTCCTTTGTACCTACCCAGAGGTCTAGTATACACCAGAGACTCGGTAACTGCTGGCTGAACCTATGGATGTGCTGAAGCTTGTGGACCTCTTTACATAACTCAGTGAGCCAAGGTGGAGCACTTTTCACCCTGGACCGAAAATACCAGTGTTAGTAGGAGGGACCTTGGCTGCTCCCTTGTCCTTATGTTTTTCTCCCAATTTTCCAGTTCTCACTGCCTGAACCCGCACTTCAGTGAGTTCTTCAGGTCTCAACTCAAATGCCACCAGTTGTAGGTTTCTCCCACCCCCTCCCCTGCCATTTTTTCTGGCCTTATTTGTGCTAAGGAGAACTGCATAACTTAAAGTCCCTGGGAGTCCACACTCGCTGTAGCCTTCAGGTATACAGTAGGCACCCAATAAATATCTGCTGGTCATCCTTATGCCCCAAATCTGTGGAGAAGGGGTAAGGTGGCCTTGATGCTCTCAAACCCTGGGCTGATGGGGCTGGGAGAAGACAGGACGGGCTCATTCATTCATTCAGCACTTATTGAGCGCCTTCTGTATGCCCCGCACGGCACCAGACACCCCGCAGAGGACGAGGCTCACCTGGCCCCGCCCGAGAGGGGACAACTCGCGCTCTGCTGGGAGAATCGGAAGCAAATCACACAGATCTCGCCGACTATGGTGAAGCCGAGGACAGACGCTTCGTCTGGGCCTAGGCTAACGGGAGGCAGTGTCCGCCAGGCCCCGGCCCCGCCCTAGCCCCCAGGTCCCGGCGCGTCCCCAGACCACACGTACCTTCGCGGGGTCCCTAGCTCGCCCACTGGCACTTCCCACAGCTCAACCGCCGGATCGTCCAGTCTCTACAGCGTCGTCCCTGGCAGAGGCCCGGGTCGCCGCGCCGCAGCCCGCGTCCCGCCCACACCCCTGGTTATTGGTTTCTCCTAGTACCGTGGGCCTATAGGGCCTCTCTATTGGCTGAAGTGGCTGCCACTCATCCTGCGATTCCCACCTCTCCTACGGGCACTGAAAAGTAGTTTTCTCTCGTTAAAGCGTAGGTACAGCCACCGAGTGGTTTCGGAGGGAAACTCCAACCATAGTACAAAAGTTCCGGAAGTGTTTGGCTTCCAGAGCTGTCCAGGGGCACCTGGTGCTGAATACCTCTCGGATTGAGGCTTGGCCATTGACTGGGAATGATTTCCTATGGAAGACTATCCATCTCTGAGCGTCCTCGCTGCTGATGCCCTTCTCGTCGTGTTAACAAGCAGATTCATCGGTTCAACAGCTCTGCCTACTCTGCCAGGACCTTTCCTAGGAGAACATCTGTGAGCAAAACACAGATCTCCTTCCTTTTGGAGCTTACGTTCTAGGAGAAGACATGGAAAATAATGGATAAACATAATAAATAATGGAGTTATGTGAGAAGGTGACAGTGCTCTGGAATAATAGAGCCCAGTAGGGGTGGTGGGTTTCTATTTATAAAATAAGATGCTCTAGCACTGGCTGGTGTGGCTCAGTGGACTGAGCGCTGGCCTACAGACAGAAAGGTTGCCAGTTTGATTCCCAGTCAGGGCACATGCCTGGGTTGCGGGCCAGGTTTCCAGTAGGGGACGTATGAGAGGCAACCACACATTGATGTTTCTCTCCCTCTTTTTCCCCTCCCTTCCCCTCTCTCTAAAAAAAGAATTCAAAAATGTTTATTTGCACAGAATAGTTTCCTTCTTCACCACTCCCCAAACTGGGTATTCTTGTTGCCATTGAACTGGCACCAACAACCATCGGTTGACAATAGTAAAGGTCAGATTCAATATTATTATAAAAAGTCCTATTACAAACAAATTATTAAAATGGAGTGAAAGTAAAAACCACAAAGCCCATACTATCACAGTTCACAGCCTAGTAAAAAAGATGAGTATTGATGAAATATTGATAATAACACTCTGCAGGAATCAGATTTCTTAAATGATTCCAAATGACCCACATCTTTGTGTTCATGCCCCAGTGTGATTTCCTCTCCTTGAGTGTGGGCTGCACCTGGTGACTTAATTCTAACAGAATACAGCAAAATTATAGGATGTCATGATTTCTGTCTCACTAGCATGACTCTATTGTCTTTTCAGCCTGCATGCTTTGATGAAGCAGGCTGAATCGTTGGAGAGGCACACGTGGCAAGGAGCTAAGAGCAACGTCCTACCAACAGTCAGCAAGAGACTGAGACCTTCAGTACAAGAGCCAGTAAGAAACTGAATCCTGCCAAGAACCCCACGAGTTATCCTGGAAGGGGATCCTGCCCTTATTAGGCCTTCACATGACTGCTGCCCAGGGGACACCTTGACTGCAGCCTTTGAGAGACCTGGAAGCTGAGCACTCAGATGAGTGCATCTGGATTCCTGACACATAGAAATCGTGAAATAATGAATGTTGTTAATGCAAGCCACTCAGTTTTGGGGTAGTTTGTTGTGAAGCAAAAGATAAATAATATACATATATAAAGGAAATACTATAGGTTGCACTAAATGCCATGAAGAAAAAAGAGAAAGATGGTTCTGTGTGGGAATTAACCAAGGGAGTGGTAAGAAGTAGGAGATGCGGAGAGGACACGATGCAAAAGTAGAAGAGTTTGCAGTACTGGCTGGCTGAACGTTAGAGAGCAATGGAGATATGAGAGATCAGGGACTGTCCTATAGACCATAGCAAGCAATTCAGATCTTACCATAAATGCAGTGTGATTCATTGAAGGGCTTTAAACAGGTGAGGGGTGTGATCCAATTTATGTTTTAGATTATTCTGACTCCTGTGTAAAGAAAGACTGAATTGTTCTTGTTTGGTGTGGCCCAGTGGATTGAGCACTGGCCTGCCAACCAAAGGGTCTCTGATTTGATTCCCATTTGGGGTATGTGCCTGGGTTGTGGGCCGGGTCCCCAGTAGGAAGCGCTTGAGAGGCAACCACACATTGATATTTCTCTCCCTCTCTCTCTCCCTTCCCCTCTGTCTAAAAATAAATAAATAAAATAAAATAAAGACCGAATTGGGGGAGGGGAGATGGGTGGAGGCAGAAGAGGGCATAAGGGGGATAAATAGTAATGGGGAAACTACAATAAAAAACAAAGAAAAACAATTCATTTTGTACAGCATGAACGCAATCTTTCTTAAAGCCATTTGTTATACACCCACATGCTGGAGGCATAGCTACTAAAATGACGAGCATTTTTATCTCTGGGGCAAGATAAAAATTTTCGTTGAAAAAAAAATAGAACTGAATTGTAAAGAAGCCAGAGTGCAAGCAGGGAGACTTGTTAAGAATCACTTGGGCAGGAATTGAAGTTGGTTTATTTTTTTATTTTTTTTAAGTTTTAAAAAATTTATTTTAGAGAGAGAGAAAAAAGGAAACATTGATTTGTTGTTCTATTTTTTGCATTCATTAGTTGCTTCTTGTATGTGCTCTGACCGGGGGATCAAACCCACAGCCTTAGTATACTGGGACAACTCTCTACCCAACGGAGCTACCCGGCCAGGGCCTGGAAGCTAGTTTACATGAAGGCATTGGCAAGGGTGATAGATGGTGGTGGGTGCCTTTGAGAAATATCTTGGAGGGTGAATTGATAGGACTTGGCACTGGTTTCTCTGGGTGGGTTGCAGGGGGGGAGGTGTCAGGGATGACTGCTGGTGTCGTTTGCTAAAATAGGAAAGACTGGGGGAGGCACAGAGATTGGAGGTGTCAAAAGACTGAGTTTGGCTTCGCAGAGGTAAAGTATGAGATGTCTGTGAGTTTTTAATATTGAATATCACTTTCTGCGTGTTTTATGATAAGCACACAAGAGGTGGTAGCTATTTTTATTTTTAGAGACAGAGTGCCTTGACTTTTAAAAATTTTTAAAAATTTATTTTAGAGAGAGGAAAGGGGAGAGAAACATGGATTTGTCCTTCCACTTATTTGTGCATTCATTGGCTGTTACTTGTGTGTGCCCTGACCGGGGATCGAACCTGCAACCCTGGCATAACTGAATGACACTCTAACCAGCTGAGCAACCCAGCCAGGGCTGCCTTGATTTTTTTTTTCTGGTTTCCATAATTTACAACAAAAAAGATCACTTGTATTAGTAGCATACCAGGTAAATTCGCTTGGGATGATTCCTTCCTATAGAAGAATTAAAGATGTGCGATATTTATTCATGGTTAGAGAATGGAACCGCTCAGAGAAGGAGCTACATAAGCTTTGGGCTTTTATTTAAGGCATATTTTTGAATGGGCTCTAGGACTTTTGTATGGGTAGGTATGATAGAAAAAAATACCAGCATATTTGGCTCTGTTGAATATTTCAAAAATCTCCCATGTTGAAAGACACAATGAATTGGCTTAAGACACAAGTAAATGACCAGGAGGAAATGTTGATAATAGATAGCACAGAGCACTTGGTAGTAGACAAAATTTTAAAATAAAAATGGGTGGTGGGGCTCAGTGGATTGAGTGCCAGCCTGCAAACCAAAGGATCGCTGGTTGGATTCCCAGTCAGGGCACATGCCTGGGTTGCAGGACAGGTCCCCAGTGTGGGGCATGAGAGGGGCAACCAATCAATGTATCTCTCCCTCTCTCTCTTCCTTCCCCTCTGGCTAAAAATGAATAAATAAAAAATCTTTTTAAAAGATTTTATTTATTTATTTTTAGAGAGGGAAGGGAGGGAGAAAGAGAGAGAGAAACATCAATGTGCAGTTGCTGGGGGCCATGGCCTGCAACCCAAGCATGTGCCCTGACTAGGAATCGAACCTGCGATGATTTGGTATAAAAAATATTTTAAAAATAAAATAAAAATGGGAAGGGAGATGAACAGACAAGTCATGGGAGATGAAGACATAGAACAGATGCTTAATCCATACAGATAATCATGGAAATATAAATTAAAACCATTTTAATAGCTTTGCCAAGATATCACTGACATACAGTAAACTACATATATTTAAAGTATACAATATGGTAAATTTTGACATATGTCTATATCTGTGAAATCATCCTCACAGTCAAGATAGTGCAATAACCCTAACCTCCCGCCCAGTTTCCTTCTGTCTCTTCCCACTCCAACTCCCAAGCAGCCACCATTCTGCTGGGGTTGCTCACTTAGGTAGTTTCCAGTGTTGGCTGTTGCTAATAGCACTGCTTTGAATTCATCTGCCTGTCTTTGAGTGGCTGTTCATGCATGTTACTGTTGGGCATACATCTACAGGTGGAATTGTACCTCCAGGGGTCCTAGTGTATGCCAATGCCCGGCATTAGAACTTAATGCACAAGCTGGCTTTTCCCCTTAGGTGCACAAAAAAATCAACATAGCAGGCCTGAGACCTCTATCTGTGGAAAGGCTGGCTTGCAAGAATGGCCCTTGCCAGCATCTGGAACTGGACCTGGGGGTTCCCTGTCCCTGAACTGTCTGCACAAACATGTGGTTCACGCTGAGCACCTGCTCCCCTGGACTCTGGGATCTTCTGTGTACTGAAGAGAGGGTCCCCCATGAGAACCTTGGTGCTGAGTCTCAGTAGCCCCGTGGGGACCACACCTCCCTTCCACTGTCACATCCCATTTTGAGGCAATTAAGTGTGCCCTGGTGACTCCACTGGGAGAGGACTCTGGAAGCTTGCAGCTGGTCTCAGGCCCTGCCCCACACGCCTCTTCCTTTGGCACATTCTGCTCTGTCCTGTCTCATTACAAACCAAGGCCGACAGGACACCCATCTGCTGAGTGCTGGGGTCCCCCCGGCGAATTTCTGTTCCTGGGAGTGATCCTGGAGACGCTGATGCACTTTTTTAATGAACAGCACTTGCTTTTCATTTTAGCCATTCTGATGTAGTCGTCTCACATTATGGTTTCAATTAGTGTTCCCCTGATGTCTAGTGAAACTGAGACCTTTTTCATATACTCCTTGGCCAATTGCATGTC